TGACAAACGTGGACTTCAGTGACGTAAAAGAAATGTTAAATAATGTGAGAAATAGCAATAGTGAAATAGTGGTGGAAAGTGTGGTGACACATAACATAAGTGTATGGACATTAGTTCTTTATTTTATAGTAGTAATAATAGTAATTGTTATAATATTACAGTTTAAATTGTATTCTATTTGCAATAAAAGAAATTCTCCGAAGTCACCTTTAGCCCCTTCGGATAATTTCTCTCTTAGGGAGGGAGGAGTTAAGAGTACCAACCCTATTAATATATGCTTTGTTAGCACTAAGCCGAATGTAGGTCGTGCGTCAGCAACGACCAATACTTAGTAAGTAAATCTGAATGTATAAATGCATGAAGATTTTATGATTTAGTTCTTAATTAAGTGCTGTCACTCTGTTGATTTAAATAAATTATTTTTAAACCAAAAGTCCGTTGCCGTTCCTTTACTCACTCTCATTCTTTAAGTTAAACAGCTGCTATGCTGTGTCCTCTTCTATCGCATGGGATTGGTCGGTTGGGACCTCTCAGTCGCACACATTCACTTGGAGCAATATTTTACTTTTTAAAATTCGACAACCGCAATTCTGGAGTGATTTTTCGCAAACAACCCTATACCACCGTGTTCAGAATAAAATAATCTTTAATTTCATTTAAATTTCATTCAATAAACAGACCGTTGCAAAATGCTAGTACAGATTTACCTGTTTATACCAGGCAACCCGATAGTTGTGACCGGAAAAGAATGGGCAGCATAAAGTTTGCATATTCTATGGGCTTCATACTTTCGATTGGTATAGAATTTATCTAATAATCATACCGGTGAAATGTTTAAAAAAATATTTTTTTTAAATTATTAATTAAACATACTCTGGACTGAAATTTGCTAGACAACCCATATGGATTATATTTATTGACATATTAAATTTAATATAAAATATGTTTCATTAAATAAGCATCTCGGTGAAGGTCGATGTATAGCGGGATCTTATACTATACAGAGAAATTGTAAACAAACAATGTTGGTAGTATTGTCTTTGATTAACATAACCTTTACACATTTAAAGAAAAAAACTTTTTAACCGGATTCAAGTCACCGTGACCTAGGGATGTGACATTCTGCATAAAAAATCAATTATTTATTAATCGATTTTTTCCTAATTTTTGAATTAATTTCAAAATAAACTCCCTAAATATTATAGTTTTCATGGTTTTTTTAATTAAAAATAAACAATAGATTATAAACACAAATTAACGTTTAAGAATAATCAAAATGGAAATTAACTTAATCTCGTTTTGATAGATTTTAGGTGAAATTTGATAAATGCTGAGTGTATACCTTTTCAGTAGCACATTGCAGTATTTTTGTTGTCTTTTTAATTGTATGTAATCTTGTGCTGCCGAATAAATTTATTTTACTTTTAAATTATAGTGTTCCATTCAAACTTGAGTTTTTGTAAAATTAACTGGTTTTATCATCCTTTCGATGTTTTACAAAAAAAACAACAATTCGTCGAGTATATCAATACATCTTCAAAGAATCGGATTCAATGTATCGCATTGGAAGCATCGATGTATATCGAATATCCCTAATAGTTCGAGGTTCGGGTCATAAAAGACCAGACATAATGTCGGGAGGTGGCAGATGAAAAATCGACTATGATTGATTTTCAATTGTAAAAATAATCGATTATTTTAAATATAAAAATCGCGTAAAAAAATCGATTTTTACTTTAAAAAAAATTTTAATCGATTTTTTTAATAATTGATTATTTTTTCACATCCCTACCGGGCGTGACCACGCACGCTGTAAAGCACGCGAAACATCGGATAAATTTAAAATTATGTTAAATAATTGTAAATTTATAATAATACATAACTTTAATCCGGTTAAAAAGTTTAAAAAAAAAGTTTTCTTTAAACAATGTTGGCTTCAACTATCAGATAATTGTTATATATATTCTGTGGGGCATGGTCTGGTCTCCGTATTGCCAATGTTAATTAACGCTTTAATATTTGTATTCTTTTAAACCAAGGTAATTGCCCCTGCGAACTTCGTTTCTCCTTCATGTGATTTTACTTTTAGTACCTACCTTTTTAGTACATACCAACATGGAACATTTTGCTATGCTACCCTGTAGCAGTAGAGACTTCGGTTTTCTTGAATGAAAACATTTTAGGTTTTTCTGTGAATTTTTCTCTACGTAGTTGGTCCCAAAGTTCTGTCACTAGCACATTATTTCTACATTTCGAGCAGGATTTTATAAAAAAATTATTGCATTCTATTTTGGAATGTTTGATTATTGTTTTAAAACAAAAACAATAACTTTCCGTAATTTTTCACGATGGAGTGGACATTGAAAGTAAACCGAATAGTTGTTATTGCGTTGCACCGCTGTGGACACTCGCCGAGTACCATTTTCAAGTTGCTCAAAAATTTGAATATAACGCTTAGGTTTGTGTACGGTACTATTGATAGGTACCTTGAAGTCTCCAGTGTTGAGGACAAGAAAAGAACTGGCTGGCCACGCTCCGCAAGAACACCAGCAGTAATCAAAGCTATCAAGGCGCGGATAGTACGAAATCCTGTCCGAAAACAGAAGTTGATGGATTTGCAGATGGGTGTCAGTAGGAAAACAGTAAAAAAGGTTTTAAATGAAGATCTTGGTCTACGAGCATACAAAAAAAGAGTGGGCACTTACTTAATGCTCGTCTAAAAGCAATAAGGCTTAAGAGATCGCGGGTGTTGTTTAAGCGGTACGCGAAAAACCGACACCGTGATATCCTCTTTACGGACGAAAAATTTTTCGATATTGAAGAGAAGTACAATAAACAGAATTATACAGTGTACGCTAGGAGTTCTGAAGAAGCTGAAAATAAAGTTCCAAGGGTGCAACATGGACATCATCCATCATCAGTAATGGTTTGGTTGGGAGTGTCCTATTACGGGCTAACTGAGGTTAATTTTTTCGAAAAGGGGGTCAAAACCAGTGCTACAGTGTACCAAGAGACGGTTTTGTATCGCCTTGTCAAAGACATGTCCAGCACCCTATTTGCGGGACATCACTTCGTGTTCCAGCAGGACTCTGCGTCTGCATACAAAGCCAAGACCACTAAAGCCTGGTTTGAGCGTCAAAACATCGTATTAATTAGACATGAGGATTGGCCTTCCTCCAGTCCGGACCTTAATCCTTTGGACCAGAAATTATGACAGGGCTTAGAGAGGAAGGTCTGTGATAAACCTCATGAAAATTTGGAGAATCTGAAGTCATCTTTAAAAAAACCAGTGACTGAAATCGACACGAATATGGTGCGTGCTGCGATAGACGACTGGCCGCGACGCTTAAGGGCCTGTATTAAAAATGAGGGAGGTTATTTCGAATATTTTTATGCTTTTTTTATTCCTTAATTAATGTACTAAGAATTGATATATCACTCATTACAAACTGATCAGTACTTTTGTTTTTATCATTATTTCCATTTATGACAGAACTTTGGGACCGACTACGTATATAAACCTCATCGGAGTTCAAGTTGTAAGATTTTAATTAACAAATAAAAAAATAGAGGTTGATCGTAGAGGGGTGAAAATTAAGGGTTGTATGTATTTTTGTATGCTGTATCATAAAAACAAAGGTTTTCTATCAAAAAATTTAGGGACCACCCCTAACATTTAGGGGTTTGAAAGATAGATAGTAACTGATTCTCAGACTTACTGAATATGCATGAAAAATTTCATAAGAATCAGTCGAGCCGTTTCGGAGGAGTATGGGAACGAACATTGTGACACGAGAATCTTATATATTAGATTATCTCTGTAAGCTAAAGAGCAATAGCATAATTTTATGGTATGTTTCTTAGAGCTATAATAGAAATAGTATAATTGTATATTTAATGATAATTTAAGTATTATTACTTAAATCATCTGATTATTATTATCAGATTTTTGAAATTATAAATTCTAATTGTGAGATAAGATTTCTTACATAGTATTTCTAGCATAAATGTTTGATCTGTTCGGTATTACAACTGTAGTCTCATAAAGTGCTATGTATTAAAGGTTTGTCATGACTAAAAATTAAAATTATATTATTTAAGAAAGGTTGGAGACTAAATGATGCATAAATCCTAAATATGTAGGTTATCATTTTACACATAGTTGAGAATTGATTTGAATACTTTTTTAATATAACTCGGTACTTGGATTAATTGTCAACTGTCTCCCATATTGTTCCTCTTGAAATTAGTGTACCATATATCAGGAACTACTGAACGGATTTTGATGAAACTTAAACTGTTCTTATTAAGTTGGAATATACCTGAAATATATCATTACATCGATTTTGTTGAAGTCCATGAAATAATAACACAAGTAAAAGACTTATTATTTGTAATAGTAATAATTAAATTTATTAACAAGCAGTTCAAAGTGACTTTAATCACAACTAGGTTTATATAAATAGGTTCACAAGTCACAACATAAATATATTCTATGAAATTAAATTGTTATTGAAACAATTACAACAAAAAATTGTCTGTTACAGTGTTAAGTTTAAATGCATTATCTCAAGAGAGCAAAGGCCAGTAGATAGTAGAAGCAAATTAAATATGATAACAGGCAAATAATAAAATAATTACAAGATAAGATTAGTAGTGTTTGTAAAGCAGGCGCAGAAGGCGCATAGTACATTAATATTCTATAATTCCAATCTCAAATTATCACATCAACAATGTTTTCTCCTTAGTATTGAGCTACATCTAACAGGTAACAGTTTTAACAGCTTATTTTTTTTTCTAGCCCTGTTGGCTGTATTATGTAACTATAAATTAACCAGATATACACATCACTCTTGCCTAGCTACTAATTTATAGTAGTGATAAGAATAAATACTAACATACCTATAGCTTTTAAAACAAGAAAGCGTAATTCTATAACTATGGTAAGTAATTATTGATAGATAATTATTGTACTGTTTCATTTGATTTAAAAGATTTACTTAATCCCTCATGTATGGGTAGTCAATTTCTCGCAGGGGGACAAAGGTTTCCTTGATGGACTGTGGAGTAGTCCACCTCATGACATAGTTAGGACCACCTGCCTTGTCATTAGTGCCTGACATGCGACCACCACCAAATGGCTGTTGTCCTACTACTGATCCAGTAGATTTATCATTGATATAGAAATTACCAGCTGTCATCTTTAACTCCTCTAATGCTGTTTGCAAGAACTTCTTATCCTTAGCAAATATAGCTCCAGTTAAAGCAAATTTAGTGGAAGATCCCACTAGGGACACTGTCTTCATTACATCCTTATCGTCATACACATACATCGTAAGGACCGGTCCAAAGATTTCTTCAGTCATTAACTTGTCATGAGGATCACTGGTTTCAATGATGGTTGGCTGAATAAAGTATCCTTTGCTGTCATCAAACTCTCCTCCACCAAGTATCTTATTCTTGGGGTTGCTTTTGGCATGTTTGATATAGCCAGAAATTCTTGCAAATGCTTTATCATCAATTACTGCCCCAGTGAAAATAGAGAAGTCAGTAGGATCTCCAATTTTAAGTTTTGATCTTTCTTGAAGCAAACCTTCCTTAATAGGTTCATAAAGTGATTTAGGAACATACATTCTTGAGCAAGCTGAACACTTTTGACCATTAAATTCAAATGCTGATCTGATTGTGCCATTTACAACTGATTGTATGTCAGCTGTTGGATGTATGAAGTGATAGTTCTTGCCTCCACACTCTCCAATTAATCGTGGATAGTTGCTATACACATTCAAATTCTTTCCTACCTCATTCCATAGCCAGTTAAATGTTGGAACAGATCCAGTAAAGTTAATTCCAGCTAGCAATGGAGATGCTGTGATTGTGCGTCCAAATGTAGGACCATCAGCAGGTACAAAATTTACTATTCCTGCAGGAAGACCAGCTTCCCTCATTATGTTGAAAATCCGCCAGTTTGATAGCAGGGCTGTGTCAGAAGGTTTCCATAAGACACCATTACCCATAAGAGCTGGGGTGTAAGCCAAGTTGCCCCCAATAGCAGTAAAGTTAAATGGGCTAATAGCGGCAATAAAACCATCCAGGCCTCTGAACCTGAGTGAGTTAAGTGTTACTGATGGGTCTTCAGATATTGGTTGATACTTAGCATTTTCCTTCAAAAAAAAAACATTGAACCGAAAGAAATCAATAAGCTCAGCTGCTGAATCTATTTCAGCTTGTACAACAGATTTAGACTGGCCAAGCATTGTTGCAGCATTGAGTTTTTGACGGTGCTCACCAGCCATTAGGTCTGCAGCACGCTGCCAGATTTGTACCCGTTCGTGAAGAGGAGTACGATCCCAGCGTCGCTGCGCTTCGGCAGACACACTGATCGCCTTTTGAATTGTCTTCTCGCTAGCATAGTAGTACTTGGCGATGGACCGAGAGTGGTTGTGAGGCATAACCTGATGGCGAGGTTCACCCTCTTTAATGTACTCATCGCCAATGACGATAGGCACCTCCTCGGTGACAGCAGCCGTGCGTTTCAGCTCGCTAGTGAGCTCGTCACGCTCGCGGCTTCCAGCGAGATATCCAAGCACGGGCTCATTAACCACACCAAAGTCTTGAAACTTTGAAAGCTCCACGACGCTCGAGGCAGAGCGCTCTAGCGAACGCGCTCGAAGAAAGTTCCTCGTACACAACGCAGACATCATTTTGGACTACTTGGGTTCTATGCAGTAAACAGCTAAAATACTTTTACAAGATACTGATAAGATAATCAATGTCGAGTTCGAGATTCGTACGGAAACTCGTGACAGAAGGTCGTTCTCGTTACGTGTTACGTAAAGTCCGGCGGGTGACCGCAGAGGATGCGAGTAATGGATTTGTTACGGAAAAAAACGTAATTGGCAACAAGCAACACCGCGACACTGCAAGGTTGACCTTCACTATTTCACATTTTGTCGCAAATACAGTAGATTAAAATATAGAAAGACGTCAAGTTGCCAAGTAAGAAATTTTCACAACCCGAATTTAAGTATTGATGTCTTGGGATTTTTTATTTTTGTCTCAGTCTTATATTGCAATGACAGCTGACACAACAAATATGAACCATAAATTTTAGTATTTTTTTTAAATGCATCTCTTTTAGATAACTTTAAACTTAATCAAATAATATATACTGATCGTCATTATTTAAATCATTATATGCAGATATGGGTATTAATTAGGTACAATGTTTTGAAACCTTAACTGGCAACCCTACACTACAATTAATGATTTTTAACGAACTTCTTGCGACCCACAAACTTTAATCACAGATGACGGAAGACTCACTGAAGTCTGAATGTAATAAATAAACTTAAAACGACCCTAACTGGTAATTAATACATTTTTAGTCCAGTTAAGAAAAAATATTTTATTAAATATTTATTAGTTCTAAATTATGAATTTATTTTTTAAAAAACCCCTAACTACGTAAGAGTAAATATCATGTTAAGGCTGAATTTAGTCTCACGCTCACCGTCAGCGCTCATAGATCAGCGCGTAGTTCATCAGCGCTGAGGCTCAGCGTGGCTCGTTTCAGTATCGTACCGACCGCCGTACTGTATAGACGAAGACCAAAATGCGTAGTCCATTAGTTATTGCTGCTTTGTACTACCTATCTCAAAAAAATCAAAACCGGCGACGACGAAGACTCCATGTTCATCCATTGATTGAACAGAGAGCCGTTGCAGGAGACTTAGTCTTGTCATCCCACAATTTCTTCCTCAGGCGTACCTCGTCGATATCTCGACCTGTATCCACTTCGCGATTTGCCATGGCTGTACACGCTGACGACGTCCGCTCCGTTCGACACTACAACGCTCACTGAATTCTGAAAGCAGAGGCGCTCTAGCGATCGTCAGCGCTGATAGCTAAGAGTCATTCAAAAACGCTTCCTAGAAGTTCATATATCTCGACCATCAGCGCCGACGGTCCGCGTGCGGTCGGCGTGAGACTAAATTCAGCCTACTTAGGCTGAATTTAGTCTTTAAAACCCAAAACACTTGTTTTGGGTTTGATTTTTGTTAAAAAAATTGTAAAACAGAATTTGAGTACATAGTGTTTCTAGATTTCACTGATATTTCAGGTTAAATTATTTTTGAAGTTATACTTCTTTAGGCGCGTTATGAAAAATTTATGAGAGTGAAATTTTACGATGCGCGCGCACCGTGACACAAAATTATCAGTATGAAGTTGCCCACTAACGAATTCTTTTTAAACCAGCCGGGCGCCGAGCGTGCGCGAGCGAGATGGGAATAAGACAAAATAGAATATGCGTGAAGTTAGCAGCTATGCCAAGAAATTTATTAAAATTAATTAATTAATAAATAATGAATTAATTATTTTTCAAAGAAATTTAGCAATGCTTTTTCACAAAGACCTATTGTTACTTAGTAAGGTTATGAAACATTCTTAGTTATTAAATTGAATGAATAATATAATAAAACAATATATAAAAATAATAATAATTAATAATTGAATATATATAATAATAAAAATAAAATTAATTGCAGCTCCCTTCTAGAAAAATTGCCCTTCCTTGTTCCTGCCTACCAGACTCGTAATCGTGCTTTGTTTCATCTTCCTCACATTAACACTAACTATGCAAAAAACTCAGTTTTGTATCGCGCAGCCCGGACATACAACGACCAATATTTAAGCCTTGACCTGTTTAAGCTGTCGCGGAATATGGTTAAAAGGAGTATTAAGAATATCCATAGCGCAAAATCACCTGCATCATGAGCATACCCCACACACCTTCACGTACTTACACTCACTTTTACACCATCACACAACACAGCCAAATTAGGTATTATTTAGTTGAATGTATTGAATAATTTTTGTTTGTTTGATTTTGTAAATTTTTGAAGCTTTTTGTAGTAAAATGTATTATGTATTCCATCTCTGGCTATATTTTCAGTGTAACTGTTTGTTATTATATATAATTTATGTTAGCTGTAGGATTACGAAATAAATAAATACTTAATATTAATAAATCATAACGTTAAATATTTATTATTAATTATTTAATTTAAAAAAAAATAAAGAAAGCCAAAGAAGTATAACTTCTTACGCGCGTACATAAGTACACGCACCCTTTTTTTTAATATCATACAGATGGTGTTAAGTAGAAAAAATACAATTCCATTCACCCGTATTAATTTAGTTAGCACCAGTGCACGTTATAAATTAACGATGGTGTGCCCACTATTTATTTGCGATGAGTAATGATAAAACTATGATATCTTCTTAAATGTTCATTTAAGTTTAACTTGGGGGACAATTCTGTTCTATATGTGATGAATACCATATTTCTTTTGGATTAGGATTGATATATATATGTTTATATAAAAACACCTTTTTGTATACAATTGATTTTATTGCCGTTTAGCATCAGTACATGTAGCCTTAAATACTAGAGCACAGTCAAACTTAACTTAAGCGTTACGAGTTAATCCGTCTCTAAAACGCGTTTCCTTTTGGCTTTAACTTTCTTGCTTCCAGCATTCAACAATAAATTCTTTCACGTACAGAAACGACCGTTGCGAACCCAAATAAAACTAAGCTATCACTAAATGCATTGTTATTATATATCATATAAGCATAAGATACAACTAGGCATTGGCAAGTACGTCCCACCCGTGGGAGTAGGACAGAGACAATATGACACTCTCAGAGCGTGTCGTCAGCTCATTCCTGAATAGTGCTTAGCCATAGAGAAAAGACCACAATTATTCTTCTAAGACTTCAAGAAAACACAGATTTGTTTTCCACTATTGTTTTATTTTTATTTATTTGACAGCCAGTCTTTCAGTCTATTCTCTATGCTTAAGTATTTACTATCAACTAAAGCGACATCTACACGATGCAAAACCATTCTTAATAAAACAGTTTTCTAAATCTACACATTCCCTAAGACATTTAAACATTGTTTTCAATTTCATTACATTTATTTGTATTTTAGACAACTTGAACATAACATTCTTTATACAAAATGCAAAATATCACAAAGTAATACAAGCAAAATAAAGGAATGTCCGATATCCGGACAGTCCGAAGAGAAATTAAAGATACTTCTTTGATTAGGGATACGACTTTGTCATAGTCCTTATAAAAAATACTTTGCACACTTAAGCTACAAGCGAGCTCAACCCTACAAATCACACAAAATGCATCGTGATTATATATATTCAAAAAGCAAACTTTTTGAGTACAATTATGGAATAGTCCAATCGAATATATACACATAAATGCACACACACAATTTAAATGCTACAGCTCTACGTTATATTGTAAAATTTTCCAAAATATTTTATCTCCGGAATGAGGTTAGGAATGACATAATTCACATTTTCATTCGGTCAATGTACAATACATATCCTTGTTTGGCTTATAGGAAATCATTGCATGGCAGTGTTAAAGACTGATGGTAAATGCGATGCCTTTACTTAAATAATGAGGTTTATCTGATACACGGATACATTGAGCAATTCAGATATAAGTCTATACTAATTTCCCGTATATTGAGGGGCATAAACGAGTACAAAATGCTACTTTAAAAATAGTTTTTGATTTGCAAATTGAGTGTCCACTCTCGTGGTTCACGTATCACAGTCGGCATGTTTTTCATAACAATGATATCAAAATATTCACTTTTAAAACTAATCGATGAAGCGCACACAACCGTATATGCACTAATGATGGATTTTGGACAAGTCATATCACAATTACAGACTCGTCACCGGTCCAATGCACGCCTTGTACATATTTTTTACTGATTTTTTTGATATTTGAACCTTGGCGTACATTTTTGAACAAGTTCATTACTACGTATACGACACATCGGATATCGTCCGCTGTTGGTATGATTAATTCAAGATTTTTAGGGTAATAGTCAAGCTAAGATTTAGATTGGCGATAAGTACAACTCACGTATGTCAAATCTCAAATTTGACTAACGAAAGTCATACTTAGCTAAGACTCGATTTTGAATACCCTTAGTCCAACCTACTACACATTTAGCGCACGCATGATGTGTCAAGAGTTAAAAATGTTTTCTTCAGAATTGTGTTCAGAAGAGTAAATCAGTGGTGTGTGTGCGCGATTCAGACCAAGAGCGAGCGGAATCAGCGGCGCAGGGACGCGCGTCTCCACTCTCTGCATCCGCTTCCGCTTCAGCCTCCGCTCCGTTGCTTGTCACTTTACAATCGCTAGCCTCCGCTGAAAATATTTTACAAAAATTTAGGATAACTATTCTGGCAGGTATACCAGTTTGAAATATAACATGTACTGGGTATCAAACCCAAGCAAAAAAAAGTATTAATTTATTCATACTTTATTGCACATGGTGTAAAAACAAAAGTATTAAAAAATACATGGCACAGGCGTCCTTATCACTATTAAAGAATTACTTTCAGGCAACCCTAGTCTACTTAATTTACCCGTGTCATTGGTAGATACCTACTTGCATATACACATGCACAGTTTGTGTCACATGCTCCATTGCAAGGAACTTTAAATACAAAACATACAGTTAGTACATTTGAAAGTAAAGTGTATCAAACTTCAAATAATCCTTTGATTCTCAGCCTTGTGGTTCAGAGAGTTCGAACTCAGTGCAAAAAAGAATTTTATATACACGAAACTAGGTCATACAGTGATAATAACTATCAGTTCTTGTCTAAATCAATGCAAGAGACGCAGATGCTACGATAAATATTTGATTTACATCACAAAATAGAAGTAGAAAAACAATGGAAATGGAAGTTCTTAATGCTAAGAGCAGTTTTTTCCAGATAAGATAAAAATGACACTTAATATAAATACGATAAAAAAAACAAAGGTTTAGAGCTCCAATGTTCTCATTCTTAAAAGAATACCAGAGGTTTGCATTTCTGAAGAGTTACATAAAAGAGAGAATACATACGGGCTTGGTGCGTTCTCGACAGTCCCAGCTGGAATGTGTCAGCGACAGTCTTACTAGGGGTGTATCTGGACAGACCGCCGCTGCCTCCACCTACATAAATAATTACCTTATAAACGTCGTATTTACTATTTATATGTTACTAGCAGACCGGCCAAGCGTTGCTGTGGCTAAGGTTTTTGATATATTACATAGTAGCAAACTATTCAAGGGAAACGGTAGGAGAACACCAGTCATGGGGACCACCATGCTTTTTTTGGGGGTTATGCCATTAAATTGTAGCTCATGTGAAACGTTGGTACTTTCAACACAGCGCCACCTGTAAGAATTGTGACTGTCAAAAAATAAACAAATATTTTGCAATAAAATAATATGGCGGGTATAAATTGAGATGTAAGCTATCCTATCTTTTATGTTGGATCAAACTACACACGGTGTGCAAATTTTATTGAAATCGGTTCGGTAGTTTAGGAGTCCATAGCGGACAAACAACCTGACACGTAATTTATATATATTAAGAATAGATCCTGCCTGCTTTCTGGTATTGTGTGTGTTGTTTAAAAGTAAAAAAATCTCCTTATTCATAATAAGACATTCTGTCTTTTTCCACTAAGAAAACTATGTTTTCTATTAGTCTGTTCAAGCGTTAGGCATGACATTTTAATAATAATGGTATGAATGATGAAATAGCTAGTGATTTATATTTACTTCACGTTATTTAAGTTACCACGTAAGCATAATGACTGATAAGAAACACAGACAGATCTTTGGCAAATTTGATTGCAGGGTTTTTTAATCTGTGCAATATAAATTCCATAGCAATCTCTATCTATATATGCAATACACAGACCATTAAAAAAGAAAGATTCAAATTAAAAATATGATCAAAGATGAAATAGGGCCTAAATACATTTAGAATTATTAGAAATAAGTATTCTCTATGCTCGAACGAGTGATCAGTCCTTAGTGTTTAAAACCACATGCATACCTTCTCACACCCTCACTCATTCATCAAATGTTTACTAGTCCTTTGTACAGTATTATTTAATTCTTATAACATTATTATTGTAGCCTATTCTATAACGCTATATAGATTAATAAAGACAATAAATAAATCTAAAATGGTAGTAGAATGTCGGAATAAGTTCTGGTGCTTATTGCCTATACTCTCCCCTTCTTAAATTCGTTCAACATTATAACTTCTAAGATCCTTCCTGTACCCTTTCATTATTAGTATCATTTAAAAGCTCAATTAATAACTTTCAAAAAAATAATCATTTGTTTACGGAAAATCAACCACAAATCATCACACTTTGATTAAAAAGTGGCGATGTACGCGTTTGGAGGCTCACTAATTGTAGCACCCTGACGCGTATATAACGAGGGGTAAAAGTCAATATGGGTTATTCGCTATTCAGACGTCACAGAGGTCACTCTTAAAGAGCTTCAACAAAAAAAACCCAGTAAAATGGATACCATGGCAAAAAGCAGCTCAAGTGGTGGCCCTACTCAAATGGACTACGGCAGGTGGAAGTTGCTCGGCAACTGAAAATCAGCTATTTCGAGTCAACGGGTATACCAATGGTTCAAAAGACTGAGGTTACATCAGGAGACATGATCCAGACGTCCTCACTACCGTAAGGTGATCGCTCCATTGTGTCAACGTCTTTGCGGAACCGCTTCTTCAACGCTGTGGAGCTGCATCAGCGGCTTTGAGCTACTCGAAGGACAGCTGACAGCGTCTCCACTATCAGAAGAAGGCTGTGAGAGAAGAATTTGCTGCCCCAGAGCTGCTACAGGCCCCCTATTGACTACCATCCACCACGAAAAGGAAGCGATTTTATGAAACGCACTCCTACATTCGACCATTAAGGAATGTCCTGTTCTCCGACAAACCCAGTGTACGTGTACACTAACAACATGCGTAAGAGAGTCTACAGCGGCCGGGAGCGTTTCACACCAGCCTGCACCGTGGAAACCGTCGGGTATGGAGGAGGATCCTGCATGTTCTAGGGCGGTATTTCTATCGACGGCAAGACAGACCTCGTGTGCGTCTCCAAGCTGGAGAAAGTCGCGGCCAGGGGTCTCTGACTGCCCACCGGTATATCACCGAAGTTTTGGAGGAGATGTGGTCCCATGTGTAGGTTTTGTCGGCGCCAACTTCGAGTTCATGCACGACTACGCCCGTGCCACTCACCTTGATTGTCGAGGACTACCTACGTCGAGTTGGCATCAAGGTTATGGACTGGCCAGCAAGAAGCCCCGACCTCAATCCTATCGAGCACCTCTGACGAGTTGAAACGGCGAGTTCGGGCCCGTTATCCAGCTCCTGCCACTCTCGATGAGCTTCGAGATGCCGTCATCGAGGAAAGGGACAACATTCTCCATGAACACGTCTGACGCTCATCAGGTCCATGACTGACCGCTTGGAAGCTGGTCGGAGGGATAGAGGAGGCAACACTAGGTTGTACGACTAATTTTTAAGGATTGTCATTGTTTATTTTTTCATTTTTGTATTTGTTCTCTTTATTTGTAATTTTGATCAGAATACACATTGTTTCACATTTTCCCAATTTTCTTTTTCTATGGGGGTGGTGGCCAATTTCTTACTGTTTTCAAATAATGGATTACATTAGCTTTCAAATGATACTAATAATGATAGGGTACAGGAAGGATCTTCGAGTTATAATCGCTTGACACGAATTTTAGGAAAGGTGCGATTTTTTGACGCCGAGTGTATTTAATCATATTTTAATCTTCAGCGATATATTTGGTTAAATTTGATTGATGTTTATATAAAATTAGTAATGCATTTTGAAACTATAAATAAATTAATATTTTTCCATCCGTAGTGTATAATGTTGTTACGTAAAATTGTTTCTCGTGTAAAATATAATTTTATCTGTATTTATAAACATTTCCACGTGACACACATCCAGTTATCAGTGTCAAGAAGTCAGTGACATCGAGTTATGTCACCTTTGATTACACAGGAATTATACATGTGGGTCGCGCCACAATGTCTGTGATACAATTATACACAAATTTATTTGTTGTTCTTTACTGTTTTATTTATAAGTGAATTTACTATTTAGTCTATGGCCGCTTCTCAAACAGAAATTGTTGAAAAAAACATCCTTAAATATATATATTATTCCTTGAACTTTGATAAAAATTAAACTTTTTTATGGATATTGGAAAAATAATTCAAAAAATTGGATTTTTTTATTTTATTTACTACTTAGGTTTATATTCCGGAAAAGCGAACAGTCTCTATGGGATAGCTTTATTGGTAAATAGCTACTAAAAGGCGGGTTAAGTAAAAAAAAATCATATTAAGGCAAAATAAAGTTAGCGGGGGCAGCTAGTACTACAATATAATTTGTGCTATCAGAATAGATGAATTGTTTGATAGCGAAAACTTTGATATAGAAAAATGAGTTAGCTACTGTTACCGAACACATTTCTGGTTTAGAACACAATTAATACAAAAAGGACTTCCTCAAATGATTTCTTTTTTAGAGAAACAAATTAAAAGACATTCGAGTTTAATATCTAAGAAAGAGACTTTCTGCATTTCACTTTAAGGGCTCTTCTCCGTGCCTAAGATACGAAATCTGGCCTGTACTACTTCAATCTTTATCTATTTACCAAGTCAATTAAATAGTTTAGTAGCAATGGTATGAATAAAAATCGTTTATTATATGAGTTAGGAACAAATAAATAAGTCTTTGAGAACTCCGAACGACTTTTTGACTCAAAAATAAGCTTAGCAATTAAATTATTTAATTCTAAATTAATATGATAGTGAGCGGAATGATAATGTTCTAGCACACGACACAAAGTATGGGTATATAAGAACCGTGTTTATATGAAGATCTCGTCGGGGGGCATTGGAACGTAGGGCGGGGACGGTTTTACTTCGCCGTGTCTCGCTGCATACCATATTAATTATTAATATATTACAGTCCCAATATATCTGTATTGGGATATGCATACAAAAAGAAATTGTATGAAATTTATATTATTCTATTTATAATAGTAGGTTTTGAAAAGTATCTTAAATAACTATTCACCAATATAATAGACTGTAAACTTAAAAATAACTGTGTCAAATGCCCATTCAGTTTAGTAGTGACGCACATGCCGATTAGTCAGAAAAATCCTGTTTTTTATTCCCAGCAAATTAATTGTTACTTTCAATTGATGGGCACAGAAGCCTTAACCTAGTCTTAAAAATAATAAATTAAAACGCAGAAATGAGAATTTCGAGTCTTAAAACTATCATCTTACCAATTGTAGTATTGGTGGCTAGAGCGGATGTGGCAGCGGGTGAAGCGGCAGTAGCGGGCTCATCTTCGCATAGGGAAATCTCGGAGGGATATTCAAAGGTCCGCGTCAGTGAGTCGTCGAATTGGAGCTTTAGCTGGAAATACAACATACAAACAATTACTTTATATTCAGAATTCTATAAAGTCAAGAAGAGAGAAATAGATGGCGTGAGAGTAAGTGAAGCGGCAGTAAAATTTTGGTTTGCCAAAACTGTAGCACTTGGAACTTACAGAATACGGGCGTTGATCAGACAGAAAATGGAGTAATAACATGGAAAATGCTATCAACAGATTATTAAGCATATCTGTTAAGTATTCACATTTGAAACTATTTATTTATAGTATTAATATCCACTATGACTACTACAAAATGAGCCTTGTGAAAGATTCACGTCTAAAAAGTACTGAAACATCGTATCCTATTTATTTAATATTTGATTAGTTAAGTTCGAAATTTAAAAAAATATGCTTAAACATATTTTCGTTACATTTCTACGCTTATTCGGTTTTGCAGCAGTTGCAGATTTATATTGCTTAACTTTTTCTATTGTGACCTAAAATTATTTATTGCTGATGTATCATAGTAATAACTATTAATTATAATTATGTATTACATTATTAGCGTAATTATAACATATTAAATACTCAACGGAATTTTGATATAATTAGATAGACAACGTAGGGTTTAGAGTCTTGACTTCACGCAAACTTCCGTATATCAAAAACGTGATTTTGGCATACAGGAGTCATACTTACAGCTAAGTCTCAACTTTAATAATCACCCTAAATTGATTCCTAAACAATCTTCTATGTTACCTTAGCAGCTCGTTCGCGATGCAACGGCGTGCGCGCTAGCATTGACGATCGTCCATTGATAAGTACGTTGTCATTAACGAACCGTACGCTACAGGGCGAAGGGGACCGCGCCCCGTCAATCTCTGCCTCACCGTCGCTATCAGACTCCGCGGGTACTTCTGCGCCCTTAAGTAAGACTACACCACTCTCACCCGCCTGGAAACACAAATCATTATTAAAACCAAACTGATAAACCAATAATGATAAACTATGCAAGTTGTATAGAAATATGTAACTTCCTTATTAGTATTAAACGTGTTTTTCATTTGACAAGTATTCCGTAATAGCGGGAATACATGTAGATTTTAGGTATTTTTAAATAGCACTTTAAGGCTTTTTAAGGAATTATCAAAAAAGTTGGTCGACATCACAGGAGACCGAAGAGCTGGCAGCTACCTCGGACAAAGAATTAGTCTAGCAATTCAAAGGGGGAACGCTGCCAGTGTCTTCGGAACCTTGCCTAAAGGGACTCCTTTTAATTGTTCTTCTTTTTTGTGCATTTGTGTTGGAAATAAGCAAATACTTTTATTAAATTATGTACTAATATTAATAAGTCCAGTGGCGTTTCAGCCCCATATGGGTCTTGGTTTCAGATTACATATGTTTGTGATAATTCTCTCATGACAGCCTTAAATGTGTAACACGTTTATTTAATAACTCCTAAATCTGAAATTAAACCTTTCAAACTTACGATAAAAATACAACATCAAATTCTTTGTTTGAATTTAGAATGAAAAATATTATAGAAATGATAAATATTTAGATTGATAAGGCTCGCTGAAGCACAACACATTGCAATTCATACTCGTTAATAAATAGTTTTTCTTGTGTGGCAACTACGACTTATGATAACGGAGACGTGTGATAGCACGGTGATTGCAATTAGTCAATACCAAACTTCCTAATAGGGGAAACGAGTCACAATGACTCTGTCGGAATGCTGCAATAGAAACTGTTCGTCATGCGACCGATCAACCGGTCGATGGGAACCTGTCTACTCCTAGGGACGGATTGACATCAGATTATTACGGCCACTGACTCAATCCCGCACACTGATAATTTACAAGATACATTTGTTATATTCAAATACGCCGAATTAAAAAAAATACATACAATTTACGTACACAGTTAAAATTACATCTCGGTATTATAACTACTAGGGCTGTGTCAGTGCCATGAGCCTGTGACTCTCAAGCCTGAGTTCGTGAGTCACGGCTGTCCCGCAATAGATTTTTCTATGTGCGCATGAAAAACTTGAATGAAGAAACCTATCTCCAATATATCAACCTAGGTAGGCTGATCACCTCCATGCCTATTGAGACAAAGGTAGCACCACTGGTTTTCTTGCACTCACTACTATTGAAGCGTGCATAAAAACCTGAGATTGTCGATTTTTGTCAACTCATGGGTCCCGGGCTCACTACTATTGATGTCCCCCGGGACAACATCTTGATGAGCATTTGGTGTTGTGCTTAGGTCTTGGGTGTTTAAATATGTATTTATATGTCTATCTATCTATAATATGTATGCATAAAACCTTTCCCTATATTCCTAAACCACACCCTCCCCCCCTTTTGTTGTTTAAAAAAAAAAAAGATTGTCGCATAAAGTATTAAAATTCCTATACCTTGCTTTGCACAGAGTAAGAAGTCCAAAACAACATAATTATTTGCACTCTAACACAGGCTCCTACTAGCTGGCTAAACGCGCGAACAGTGAGCAATCAATTGATAAAGACTATCTTGGATTAGTGATCAATTCGTTACCCTATATCTTTATTGTGTATATAAATATATAACTTATATAAAAAAGTTAGGTATGTTCTAGTATTGAGCATGACGCGCGTTACGCTTGACCGAAACACGTGCACGGGTAACGGATCGTTATACGAATAATAAATGCACTGCTGTTGATAATAATATATCAAATAATTAGCGGTACACGGCTCATATATTTACATCTCGCACAGTAATTTAAACGCGCTTCTATATTTAAAAATCTACTTTTCGAGTCCGGTTTTTTAAATCAAAATTTATTTAGTTTTATTTACTTGTAATATTTTATAATTTGCACGACTAAAATAAGCCATAAGTAATAAAACATGTCATACAAGAATACGAGCGACGACGTGGCCAATAGTCAAAACTACATAATATTTATTAAATTCTACTCAACTATACAAAAATGTTTTATGAATAAAAATATGCTTTATATTATTTAGGTATTGGCTATAGAGTGGGTATAAAAGAAAGATGGACGTGTCTCTCGGCCGCCTTTGCAGATTACTTCCATTCTGCCAATACCATAGTGAATACGAGTGCTTCGTCAATACTAATTAATTATACACTACCAATTAATCTTAAGATATTATCCCCAGCATACATACGGAACATTTATCCTATTATTATCATTTAGGAGAATAAGGAACGTGTTTCTAACTCTATATAAAAAACATTGTTATTTAAAGGTAAGGATAACTGTTTTGTTCTACTACATTCCTCCGCAGTCATTTGCTGGACAGATCAAAAATACAAGGTTGTTGACTATCGATTCCGGATATGTGTGACTCAACTGACATTTAGACTTGACTCTTAATAAGTAAAGTTACCCAAGTCGTGGTGTTGCTACCAAGTTTGCTCAGTAAATCAAATCCTTCGGCGTGCCACACATCCCACATAATTTGCGGCGTCCCAGGGGAAATTCGTTCATGTCCCGTGACACGTGAGACGGATTCAATCAGCAGAATGTCCGGGGATGCGTCACGTATTTACAAAGCATTTCTCACATTGCGACCTTTGCTGGCCTAGTTTCTCCAGGCATGTTTCTTTTGACCGCTTTGTTTGACAAAACAATCAAAATATAACTTTATGGTTAAATATGCGAATCTTGAATCCAATACGGTTTGTAAAGAAAGAATGAATAATTTTATGTCAAAATAAGTCGAGGGAGCAGGAACAGGTGCTATCAGTTTGAAGCGTGCGGAGGCGGAAATATCTCCGCGACTCAACAAAATCGTCGATTGGCTGAATTATTCAAATAAAGCGACGCCATTAAATTAAACGCCAAATTGTTTCCTGATATGAATAGCACAAGATTGCCAATCAAGCGGAATGTACGCATTCTACTTTGCCAAACATTCCCTTGATATTACAGGAAAAAATGGAGTTTGGATGTCTGTTTCCATTTTGTTTGATTAATGGAGGATACATTTCGGATGTATTTTGAATATTAAATAATGACCTATCTTTAAAAATTGTAACTGACTCGGCCTTCTGAATTTATATCAAAGAAAAAAATTCTCTTTATACAGAGCTGTTTTCTTCTTCAAAAAAATTCGAGGAGTCGACGTTAGTTTTCAATAAACAAGTTAATGGTATGAGCTCATACCTTTTAATCTGTGTCAGTATTCCGGCTCTGATTCCCTGTAATCTTGTCAACCCTTTATGTGGCTTCACTTATGAGCTCTCATACTAATCGTACAACTTTCTGGTATGTATTACACTCATAAATGACGTCATTCATGAAGCAATTTTACATAAAATATCAGCAATAAAATCAGAGCAGTATAGAGTAGATTGTATTGCCAATTATTAGTTTAAGAGTGATCTGTAACACAGTGGCGTGACATCACAGAGGGCCTCAATGATTGCGGACAAATCAGAGCGGAACAGGATGAGGCCCACACAAAATGGGGATTTACCACTCCCATTATCAGAGGGCGCTTGTACACTTAATATAGTATGTTAAAGTTGTTGTCATTAGTCCGTTGTATGGGCATCAATTGCGAAATTATTTTGTGGATAATCGTTTATTAATCTGATATGTGTAATCGATGATACGATATCACCTGATATACTTACGTATAAGCCAGTGGACATAATTTATTTTGATTTGAATGTTAATAGTAAATTCAGAAGCTTTTAAAATACGCTCAACATAAACGTTTATCGAGTATTATAAAATTACTAGCTGATCCGGCAAACGTCGTTTTGCCATGTATATCATTTATAATAAAAATAGGGGTTGATCGTAGAGGGGTAAAAATTAGGGGTTGTATGTATTTTTAATGCTGTATCATAAAACAAAAATTTATCTATAAATTAAAATAAAAATTAAGGGAGGACTACCCTTACCATGTAGGGGGATGAATAGATGTTGTCCGATTCTCAGTTATACCCAATATGCACACAAAATTTCATGAGAATCGGTCAAGCCGTTTCGGAGGAGTTTAACCACAAACACCGCGACACGAGAATTTTATATATTATATTATATCCCATTTATTTATCCGTTAAGAACAGCGTTGTCTTGTGGATTTTAGTCCGGTCAATTTAGACATTCGAAGGTACATAAAATTGAAAAACGGTGGCTCGTAGGAAAACAATTATTGATACTTTTTTTTATAGATTATTTTATGATCTACATTTTTGTCTGAGTTACTTTTATGATAAAACTAACCGTTTTGCTGAAAATCGCGAAAAACTCATTTTTTGACCTTTGACATTGAATAAAAAAAATTCCATACACGGGAATGATGGGCAACTCTTAAATATTATTTATAATTATGTTTTGAACAATTTTACTGATTTTCAGCTTGTTGGGACTTTATGTACCTTCACTCTCATTTTTTCGTCTAGATTGACCGGACTATTTAGCGTTTCTCAACCCCTTAGGACGTGCGTTCAAATCACAGCGCACCAATCAACACACTCAAGTGGGGGAAACATAGTCAACTTTGTTGAATTGTATAATGTACTATGCTAAAGCTGGCTAAACCCAGACTAAGGCGCGCAAAAATATTCTTAAACCTCACAATATAAATTGCACACATAGAATATGCTAAACAAGAGTAAAAGTGTTAAGAAATAGTTACGTAATATCTATGTAATATGCACAGATATAGGAAAAAACAAGTTTGGAGATATCGAATGCTAATGAACACGCCCAAACTACGTGAATCTCGATAAGGCTTCAATCATGTACATATTAAGAGTATCTTAGAAACTGATCACACAACTTCTTTTATACATTTGTGCTTCACCGTTTTAATTATTTAATTCTTAATTGCTAACAGGTCTCACTTTTACACATGGAACTCGTAAAAACTACTTATATTATTTATATGTAATAAAAAAAAGGTTTATTTTACAGCCGTACACAGAGTTGACTATTAAATTATCTTTTTTTAATAAAAAAAATGCTGGATTAACGACTGATTTTATAAAGAATAAGGACCTCTTTATGAAGAAGCTTTGTAGCTTGCGTTTGAGCCTAGGGTGAACATATTCATGGCTGAAATATCTGTTAACTTTTAAAGGACTAAGTATAGCCATTAACACTTTTTTGTATGTCAATCAAGGTTTATAATAATTTACCAACATTCAAAGATATTTCTACTAGAGCTTTTAAAAATAGACTTAATGAATGTAATACTTTTAAAAAACTACTTTTGGAAAAATATTTATATTCTAATAATGATTATTAAAAAAAGGGTATTCTTAACTTTTCCCCCGCCCCCCCAAAAAAAAATTTAAATTTTTTTTTTGTTAAAAATACCCCAAAAAAAAAAAATTTAAAAAAACCCCCCCCGGAATCCCCCCCCCCCGAAAAAATTTGTTTGGGGGGCCCCCCGAAAAAAAACCCCCCCCCCCCTCCCCCTTTTTTTTTGGGGTTGTTTTTCCCAAAACCCTTAAAAATAATATTTTTAATGTGTGAGAGAAAAAAAAATTTTTCCCCCCCCCCCCCCCCCTTTTCCCCCCCCCCCCCCCCCCCCCCCCCCCCCCCCCCCCCCCCCCCCCCCCCCCCCTCCCTCCCCCCCCCCCCCCCCCCCCCCCCCCCCCCCCCTCCCCCCCCCCCCCCCCCCCCCCCCCCCCCTCCCCCCCCTCCCCCCCCCCTCCCCCCTCCCCCCCCCCCCCCCCCCCCCCCCCCCCCCCCCCCCCCCCCCCCCCCCCCCCCCCCCCCCCCCCTTTTTCCCCCCCCCCCCCCCCCCCCCCCCCCCCCCCCCCCCCCCCCCCCCCCCCCCCCCCCCCCTCTTTTTTTTTTCCCCCCCCCCCCCCCCCCCCCCCCCCCCCCCCCCCCCCCCCCAACCCCCCCCCCCCCCCCCCCCCCCCCCCCCCCCCCCCCCCCCCCCCCCCCCCCCCCTTCTTTTTTTTTCTTTTTTTTTCCTCCCCCCCCCCCCCCCCCCCCCCCCCCCCCCCCCCCCCCCCCCCCCCCCCCCCCCCCCCCCCCCCCCCCCCCCCCCCCCCCCCCCCCCCCCCCCCCCCCCCCCCCCCCCCCCCCCCCCCCCCCCCCCCCCCCCCCCCCCCCCCCCCCCCCCCCCCCCCCCCCCCCCCCCCCCCCCTTTATAAAATATAATAAATCCCTCCCCCCCCCCCCCCCCCCCCCCCCCCCCCCCCCCCCCCCCCCCCCCCCCCCCCCCCCCCCCCCCCCCCCCCCCCCCCCCCCCCCCCCCCCCCCCCCCCCCCCCCCCCCCCCCCCAACCCAAAACCAAACCCCCCCCCCCCCCCCCCCCCCCCCCCCCCCCCCCCCCCCCCCCCCCCCCCCCCCCCCCCCCCCCCCCCCCCCCCCCCCCCCCCCCCCCCCCCCCCCCCCCCCCCCCCCCCCCCCCCCCCCCCCCCCCCCCCCCCCCCCCCCCCCCCCCCCCCCCCCCCCCCCCCCCCCCCCCCCCCCCCCCCCCCCCCCCCCCCCCCCCCCCCCCCCCCCCCCCCCCCCCCCCCCCCCCCCCCCCCCCCCCCCCCCCCCCCCCCCCCCCCCCCCCCCCCCCCCCCCCCCCCCCCCCCCCCCCCCCCCCCCCCCCCCCCCCCCCCCCCCCCCCCCCCCCCCCCCCCCCCCCCCCCCCCCCCCCCCCCCCCCCCCCCCCCCCCCCCCCCCCCCCCCCCCCCCCCCCCCCCCCCCCCCCCCCCCCCCCCCCCCCCCCCCCCCCCCCCTCCCCCCCCCCCCCCCCCCCCCCCCCCCCCCCCCCCCCCCCCCCCCCCCCCCCCCCCCCCCCCCCCCCCCCCCCCCCCCCCCCCCCCCCCCCCCCCCCCCCCCCCCCCCCCCCCCCCCCCCCCCCCCCCCCCCCCCCCCCCCCCCCCCCCCCCCCCCCCCCCCCCCCCCCCCCCCCCCCCCCCCCCCCCCCCCCCCCCCCCCCCCCCCCCCCCCCCCCCCCCCCCCCCCCCCCCCCCCCCCCCCCCCCCCCCCCCCCCCCCCCCCCCCCCCCCCCCCCCCCCCCCCCCCCCCCCCCCCCCCCCCCCCCCCCCCCCCCCCCCCCCCCCCCCCCCCCCCCCCCCCCCCCCCCCCCCCCCCCCCCCCCCCCCCCCCCCCCCCCCCCCCCCCCCCCCCCCCCCCCCCCCCCCCCCCCCCCCCCCCCCCCCCCCCCCCCCCCCCCCCCCCCCCCCCCCCCCCCCCCCCCCCCCCCCCCCCCCCCCCCCCCCCCCCCCCCCCCCCCCCCCCCCCCCCCCCCCCCCCCCCCCCCCCCCCCCCCCCCCCCCCCCCCCCCCCCCCCCCCCCCCCCCCCCCCCCCCCCCCCCCCCCCCCCCCCCCCCCCCCCCCCCCCCCCCCCCCCCCCCCCCCCCCCCCCCCCCCCCCCCCCCCCCCCCCCCCCCCCCCCCCCCCCCCCCCCCCCCCCCCCCCCCCCCCCCCCCCCCCCCCCCCCCCCCCCCCCCCCCCCCCCCCCCCCCCCCCCCCCCCCCCCCCCCC